GGGGGGGGGGGGCGGCGGGGGGGGATTTAGTTTTATGAATTTAGAGAAGTAAATTTTATGGGGCTATGGTTTTATTTTTATTCCTTTCTGTTGTTTTGCCTTTTTGTTTGTTTTGTCTTGAGACAGGTCTTATGTAGCCTTGGTCAGACTGGAACGCTCCTTCTAAACCAGGCTGGCCTCGAACTCATTTCGGGCTGTCTGCCTCAGCTTCCCATGACTCGTGATTTTAGGGAACAAGAAGGGCTTGACTCTGAAATTGGGGCCAGGTGGCAGCTGTTTTTTTCATCTTCTGCACTTGAACCTTAAAGTTGTAATTTTAAAGTTTCCCCTCCTCTCCGATATTTTCTTCCAAAGAAGCCAGCTCTTTAATTTTCAGTTGCCATCAAACGGGACTCTGGGAGTCACGGTTTCTCCTGTCCTAGGTTGGAGACAGTGCAGTTTTTGCCACTCTTTAGCTCATGTGTTGCTAAAAGGGAGTGCATGTCTGGCGTTTAGGTAGTCGTTAATATTTAGAGAGAGGGGAAGGGAGAGAGAGAGAGAGAGAAAGAGAGAGAGAGAGAGAGAGAAGACTGACGCTCAGCAATTCAGTAATCCAGGCCGGCCCCACACTCGAAATCCTTCTGCCCTAGCCTGCCAAGAGTCTCTATGGGCATGGATCACAAGGCCTGGGTGTGTTCCTGTCCTGGTGTACACTTTCTTGTTTTGTTGCATTTTCAAGGTGGTCTTGTATAACTTGGGCTTACCTTGAACTTTTAATATTCTGCTACCACCTCCCTGCTGTCAGGATCACAGGTGCGCAGCACCGGTACCAAAGATAGAAGCCAGGGCTTCAAGCTTAACTCATTTTTTTTTTTTTTTTGGTAAAAAGTTACTTATTATTGCCGGGCATGGTGCTCACAAACCTTTAGTCCCTGCATGTGAGAGGCAGAGGCAGGCAGATCTCTGTGAGTTCAGGCCAGCCTGGCCTACATAGTATATCTAATTTTTTAAAAAAAGTTATTTATTATTATTATTATTAATGAATGGTGGTGGGTGTTATAGCATAAATATGGAAGTCAAAAGACAATCTGTGAAGTCAGTTTTGGGTCTGGGGAGGAAATTTTAGTCACCAGGTCTGCGTGGCAAGCGCCTTCACTGCTGAGCCATCTTTCCAGTTCCTAGACTTTTTGATGAAAGGCTTGAATACAGATCTAGTATTAATGCCTTTATTGTATGGGTAACAGCTAACCTTTAACTTTCCTGTGATTTTTTTCCCCTTTGACTTATGTAGCTGTTTGGCTAACTTACCTAACAAGCAGAGAGAGTATTAACAAGCGAATTTCAACTATTCTTCTGTTGGAAACGGGAGATGACTGTAAAGCCACACTCAGGAACTTTGCTGAGCCGAGACAGTTTGTGCTGCCGATTCCCTGGGGGTAGCAGATAGCTAGCATTGGGACTGACTGAATTTTTGCTATGATACCGGAGTTGGTGGTGTGGCTCAGGGTCAGAGCGCTTGCTTGGCACGTCAGAGGCCTTAGGTTTGACCCCAGCAGTACAGATGCACAGGTAGACTTACTGGTATGTGTTGGTATGCCCGGTATGGTTATGCATAGCTGCAAGTATAGAGTCAGCGAGGACTACATAGTGAGCCCCAGGCCAACCAGGGCTACACAGGGAGACCGTATCTTTTTTACTTTTATAATGATTCTTTGTGGGTTTCACATCATGTATTCTGATCCCACTTATTTCCCCGTCCCCTCACATCCACCCTCTGCCCATGTAACGCATCCCAAAACAAAACCAAATTTAAAAGAAAAACCAAACAAAATAAACAAAACAGAAACAGAGAGAGAGAGAGAGAGAGAAACCAAACAAAATAAAACAGAGAGAAGAATCTCGTGTGGAAGCTGCAGTGTGTTCCGTTGAGTCATAGTTTACCCTCAGGTCCA